GATTAAAGGCTAATTATGGCTCAACGTAGGATTCAATCACCAAAATATCTGATTAATATGTACAGTAGAAGTTACAGAAATCAATGTTCCTTCTTTCTGATTATTACTGGTTCTGTCGTCGTTCTGCCTAAAGTTTAATTCCCGTATAAAAAACTCGACAGTTTTCTGATTCTTGGAGCGTTTTGTTGCAGAAACCCGTCAAGAAACCAGAACTAGAGGAAAGTTTTTGTTCTGCATCTTCATCTGAAATCCTCCTGCTGAAACTGCACTGAAATAAAATGTGATTCAACCAGGAGCCTGCAGGTGGACTCTTCTGTAAACCGCCTCGGATCATCACTTCTTACAATGTTCCCAATTTCTGCATCAGTTAATTAAAACTAAAAGAATTACATTTTTTAATCCAAAAAATGTAATTCACTGTTTAATTATGTTAAACTTTCAGAAGTTGAACCTCAAAGTTAAAAACAAATGAATAGATTGTTGTGATTTTGGTGCCTGTTTATATAAAAGAAAAATCCAGATCCAAATGACATTTGAAGGGACCTGGAGGAAAGCAGTTTTTGTAGGTCAACGGTCAGATTCTACTAAAGACATTTTACAAAAATCATATTTTACTAAAAACTGAATCCTTTCTGCAGCACATTATAGATTTATATCTGCCAGCTTAAAGTTAAAGTGATTAGTGTTGATTAGTGCCGCTCATGTTAACCAGTCAGATGTTTAATGAGCCACAGTGGCAGCTTAACCTGCAGCCCAGGAACATTAAATTAATAAGCAGAGCAACTTTAACGTGCCTTTCACAAATTAAATCAATTTCACATTTAATTATGGATTTAATTAGTAAAGAATGAAGTGACCATGCACAACTGATTTCCAACGTTTTCTTTAGGTAAATGGAAGAAATTTGATTTAGCAAATTACAATATTACAAAAACTCAAAAGGCTGTTGAATATCCAATATGTCTCAAGATAAAATGAACCCAACAATTGAACACATTTATCAAGAATTTGCTTTGGAAGCTCATTACATGATCATCAGCGTAAGCACCGATAAAATCAGGAGTTTAGGCAGCTTACTGGTGTTGAGCACGGCAGTGAAAGAATGATGATCTGGGCTTTTTTTAGCAGCCGAGGAATCAGAGAAACTCAACTTTTTACTCCCATAATGGGTAAAAATAGTTTAGTTCTGATTAACGTGATGTAATTTGGCTGAAATGAAACTATTGCAAAGAAAGACGAAGCACACAGTGTCAGTTTGTCCATTAACAATAAAAATTATTAACATACATATTTGAACATACAAAAACAAATATTACAAGGCAGAAGGATGATGGAAGGCCCAAATCGCTCCAACAATAACCACAATAATCTGATATCACTTACAGCAAAATGAGCTAAACCAACCAAAGCACAGCTCAGTGACGACCCGTTGGTGTGTTTGCTAATAAAAACAGTGTCCTGCTGAGATGATCACAGTCGTACGCTCAATAAAAACCAAACAGCTGCACAGCTCCAGAGACCCAAAGTCACTGGGAACGTATTTTTTTCTATACATGTATAAGAACAGATGTAATAATGGCCGTTTTCTGCCTCAGTAACTAGCTACATCACAGGAGTACGCTCACACACTGAAGGTTTTACAAACGCAACCGTTTTCTGGCGAGCCAAAAAAAGGCACCAAATTTTTCCCCAAACAGTGACAAGTCTTATATGTCGGTTTTATTTAGGATTTTGTGAATATTGGTAGTAAAAATACAAATGAAAGTCCAAAGCTAAACCATGAAGCTAGCAACATTTTGAGATTTGTTAAAAAGTCGCATTAGTAGATTTTTATAGGGACGTTCCAATCTGAGAAACTGAAAATCAGTTTTATTTCAGCAATCAGGCTTCCATACAAGTTAGCGAATGGCTAATTAGCTTGTATAGAATACTGCTGTAGTTTTACTTTATGCTAGTTGTCATGTAAAACAACAAGCATTACTATAGGGTGAAATTATCCAGAACAAAAATGCTTAAAAAATCATTTGAAAACATCTGGACTCGGTCTTGGTTCTGTCAGCACACTGCAGCATTTTACACAAACACATAGTTTAGCTAACACAGTTAGCTAAAATTAGCTTGGACATAATGCTGGAGCACTTTTAGCCAAATAATAATTGGCATAGAGCAAAAACTGTTATCAAAATCATTTCCTGCTGTTAAACCTTTGAAACTGTCAAAAAATAAAAATAACATTGTGCCTATATTTCAAAGATGAAAATTAATCTTTAAAATTTGTCAGACTACTGGAAACGGATCATAGTATTAATATTTGCCAATTACAGTATTAGCAAATGTAATATTACATAAAAATGAAAAAAATTAAAATCTTCATGGTAAAACAGCGATTTTCATGTGAAATCTGATTAACATTTAGAGAACGTCTAGCTAACTTGCATAATGCCAACGTTTTTACTTTTTCTGTGCTATAATGTTCTGATCTCATTTAGATAAAAGTTTTAACTGAGTGACTCAAAGCAACACAACTCATCCTTTTAGTCAAGCTGGTCAGCATATGGCTAATTAGCTTAACTTAGCATTTATATAGCATGACAGACCTCTATGCTAGTTAGCATCTATTAAAAGATACCCTTAGCTTTAAACCTCTGCAGCTATACTTTTTAACTTCGTCATTGACAATGTTTAGTATGTATATTCTTCAAATTAAAAAAATAAAGCTATCATGCATTTGCTAAGTAGCAAGATGCTATTTAGCATGTGCTAAGTAGTCATATGCATGAGTTTTTTTAATTTTTGCTGCAGTATTTTTTTATTTATTTTGCGATTAACGTAAACATAGAGCTTATTTCTCCTCATATTAACAAAACAAATTTATATCTTAACATTACTGAAGACTTTTCATGACAGTTATGCTAAATGCTACGACGGTTCAGCAGTACCATTATATCAATGAGAGGTACTACGAAATAAAATACTGCATTTAGAAGAAATTAGTTTGTTATCATGGAATAATACAGATTATTATGTACAAAATAAAATGTTTTCTTCTCATTACTGATATTTTGTAACATTATGATGATGATGCTCCACAGAGAATAAACTGTTTGGTATCTGAAATCTGGATATACATTTTATATACAAGATATTTCTGTTGAGAAACAACATAAATAATAATATATTTGAAATGTTGAAGGAAATTAAATTGCATTGTTAATGTTTTAACCCTAAAGAAGCTGCCTATACAAGTGCCTTTCTGCATTTTGCTACTTTTTTCAGTAAGATTGGAACATCCTCATAATCTACATGCCTGGTGTGGAAATAAATCTGAGAAATCAGTGGAAAGATTGAGAACATTTACAAAAAAATTAAGTTTCTGCCAGCCAGAAAACAGGTTTATGGAAAACCTTCAGTCTGGACTAAATCCAAAGTAAAACAAGAAGTACATTAGTGAAAAAGAAATTTAAACCTTCAGTGGGTGTTTATTTAGTGTGAACATGATTTAAATAATGTCCAGGTTTACGCTGCGATAAGTCACGGCTACTTTTGTTTTAGGGCAAAAAGAAATGGGACTGAACAAAAATGATGTTTCTTATTTTCAGCTCCGAAGCCGATTTGTTTCTCCCTTCATCCCGTCTTCTCGATAGGAGTCAAAAACAAACTAAAAAACCACAGAAAAATGGGCAAATTTCCAGCCTCCTGTTTCCCGTCCATCACTCCTTCATTGACGACTTAGAAAAGACAAACACGGTTAAATTTAAAGGCTTGAGTGAAATCACAAGAAAAAGCTGTCCGATCATTTTGAACACCAAACAACAAGAAAGGGACTTTTTTTTTTTTTTGGCATCAATAAAAACCAAAAAAAAAAAAAAAAAAAAAACAGCCACATTTTCTTCACAGTTTTTACCTGCAGACGTCTTCAAGACAAGAAGTTGTTGATTTTTTCTCTGGATGTTGGATACTTGTGACATTAGCCTGCAACACGTTATGTGATGAAAAGGTTTGATTGGTTTTTTCTGTACAACAGCTGGATGTTTAACACGTCCACCGGTTTTTACCAACATGTCCAGATTCTGTTTGACACAAACACTCAGCAACCTCCACAGTTTTGGGATCCCTGGTGAAGAAATGAAGGCATGAAATGTTTCAGTAACAACCTGAAAAATGATGAAAAACTCAACAACTGATCCGGTTACATAAAGAACCTTAATTAAAAAAATGATCTCGCTCAATTTTGATACAGTAATCATGTAGGACGATAGCTGCATTTACATTAAACATGTAATTGCACAATTTGATATTTCAAAAATAAATTTGTTAATTAAAAAAAAAAACTCGTTTGTCAATAAAAGGTTTTGGTGCTAGCATGAGGTGGATTTTTTGGCCCTATTGAAATTGGTTTATTTTGCAAACTGCAACAGAAACAATATATTCGCTTCACACAAGTCACATGATCAACAACAGGATGTTGCTACTGGCGGAAACCACGAAGACAACAGGAAGTAGTTTTAGGATGATAGTGCCAAACTTATTCACGTGTGATTTTACTTTAATTGCGTTTCTTATTCAATCGAAACACTGCAGTTGCAAAATTGTGTTTTTTAACATTATCGGAATATTGAAAAAGTTTTGCGCATATTTGTAATGGAAAAGCAGCTTCTGACTGAGCTTTCCAGCAAAAACACTCCAGGATGTTTCTGCTGCGAAGCAAAGGATGAAATGAGAAAAACTGTCAAGTACTGTGGAGGATCTGTGATGCTGTGGGCCTGTTTCTCTACCATTTAATTCTTTATAATGTCATTTAGAATAAAAATCTGATTGCCTCTCAGGGAAAACAGTTTTTCGTACTCAGGTTAATCCAGTACGACGCGGCTACCAGGGTGTCAGGAAGTGTGGAGGCTGACGTTTACAGGTGTTATTTTCTTTATCTCAGAGTTTTGATGGACTTTTTTATGCCCAACTTCCTGTCTGGTATTAATCTGTGACTAGGCGGCTTTTATTTTTTTTTTTACAAAAAATTCTGCTCTGGATGTCATTTGTTATGCGGTGAAAAAGGAATCTCAAAAAATGCACTCAATAAGCTAAAATTTGAGATATAGGCCAAACATTAAGTTTTCTATTCTTAAAAAACAACGTTGGGGTGAGGGCTTGTTAATTTGTGTTAACTGATTAATTTCTCATTTTTAAACTGTGAAAAAAAAAAACAGGTAAAATATTTTCTTACATATTTTTAAACGACTTTAAACTAATTTTTCTAGGTGATAATACTGATCCATGGTAGGATTTTAAAAATTTCTAATCATTTGTCGGTTTTATTTTTGGCAGAAATGGGCCTCCATATCTGCGTCTTGATTAAAAAGGATCATAAACACTGAGTTAAAGAGTCCAAACAGTGCAGCTCCTTCATTCCCAGAACTCCAGTCTTCTTCTTCTTCTCGTCTTTATTTGATCAGAGAACTTTTTTCCACTGGAAATCAACAACATTCAGGTTTCACTTCTTTTTTTCCAAGAGGAATCGGCTACGATGGTCAAGAACGTGGCTCTGTTTTGTTTCAACAAAAAGCCTTCGTGGTTCTTTCTGTAAAAAAGTAACCGGAACCTGTTTCTTCATCCTGGAAGGTTTAACGGCCTCAAACCAATTAAAGTCGAACGTAAAATGAAATGATAATTTACTCCACAGGGTTTTGAGATGCCCTCGACTTCATCCCTTAATCTCAGTGTTTTTGTCTTGGATGGTCGGATTAACGTGTGCTGGGTTAAATGCTTCAGACGCGTCGGCATGAGCTGCTTTCTTTTTTACTTTCCGTCACGTCGGGGTGGCGCCGTCCGCAGAGTCTTTACGAAGTCTTGACCAGGTCGTAGACGTAAATGAGGAAGTCGTCGTCGAACTTGATGAAGTAGACGGACGGCTTGGCCTCCACCTGGTGGATGACCATGCCTGTTCGTTTGCCGCCGTCCTCTTTGGCGTACTCCACCTGCTTGCCCACCAGGCTGTCCACCACCTCGCCGGGCTCCCGCTCCGCCGGGACGCTGTCGTCTGCGGACGCCAAGCGACACGTTAACCTCAACGCACGGGAAACTCTGAAAACACCGGATGTGAGCAGACTCACTGGAGTCGGGCATGATGCGCAGGTCGCCCTCCTTGTAGTCGTCCAGCAGCTGGTACATGTACAGAACCGGGTCCTTCTCATAGGTGATGTAGAACCAGGTGGTCATGATGGGGGCGCGGGCCAGAACCATCCCCCTCCACTCCTCCTTCGGGCCCTCCTCCGTCTCGAACATGTGCTCCACCGCCTTCCCAATCATGGCGTCGGCTAGGCTAACGTCCGTCAGGCGCGACTTGGCTGTGGACAGAAGACCCTGTTAGACCCAGCAGTCTGTCGCTGAGCTTCTGTCCAATGGTTCAGCTCAGGAATCTTTATGTAAGGAACAAAAAAATTAAGAAAATTCACACAAGGTTTATTCTAGGACATCTTAAAACGTTAGAGCAGCTAACCCTAAAGCTAGCTGTGCTAACCCTAAAGCTAGCTGTGCTAACCCTAAAGTACTAATCATAAAGATTGGTTTTGCTAACACTAAGACTACCAAAATGGTACTTAGCAGAAGCTAATGCTAAAGTACGATAGCAACATGGTACTTAACAGAAGCTAATGCTAAAGCACGATAGCAACATGGTACTTAGCAGAAGCTAATGCTAAAGTTCCTTGTGTCGTATTACTTGGTAATGATTTGTCAATGTTACTTAACTCAGTGTCTAAAGTAATGTGTGTGTTTTAATGTATTGAATTTAGTTTTATGAAATTTTTATGTTTTTCACCTCATTTCCTACTCAGGAACCATTAGCAGAAATGTTTTGTGATTATGGGGGAAAATGGAAAGAAAAATAAACTTAAATATACATAAATAATTAAAACTCTTAAAAACTACAAACTGAAAAACATTGTTGCAGTGTCGCTTCTCAGCCGGTTCTCACCGAGCCGGTCGGGCAGAACCTCCAGGCCCTGAACCCGCTCGTCCTTATGCAGCTCCAGGCCGTAAACGCAGTCGAACCCGTCGTACTTGATGAGGTAGAGCGACGGGTTCACCGGCACCTGGAGGAAACAAACGTTGGTTTATCCTCCGCTGGTCCTCCTGAAGCGGAGCCAGATAAACAAAGATGGCGGCGGCGGCGCTACAACAGAGCAGGTGAGAGAAACGATCCAAACTATTTTACAGTCCAAGAAGTCGAGTTCCTCGGTGCTTCTGAAGCGTTTGACCCGGCGGGCTGAACCCAGATCACCTGATCCAGAACCGTCCCCTTCCACACCACATGTCCTCCTCCGTCCTTCCAGATGTGCTGGATCCTGCAGCCCACGATGTTGCGCCTTGGCTGGGACAGAACCTTGGTGGGCGGGCCCAGGCTGCTCTTATGCTTTCTGCAGGAGCAGACAGAACCCAGTTAACCGGGCCGGTTCCCCCGGTGAGACGAGGAACCGGGAGGCTGGAAGCTTCTACTCACTTGTGTGGATTCTTCTTCTTCATCATGTTTGCAGAAACACCTGCATGGCCTGGGAGGAAAAACCAGGAATGATTCAGGAACGCCGGTTCTACCGGACTTTCTCTGACGGAACCAGCGAGTTTGGGTCTCAGCTGCAAGTGTGTGTGTGTGTGTGTGTGTGTGTGTGTGTGTGTGTGTGTGTGTGTGTGTGTGTGAGGCAGTGACCTGCATCAGCTGTGTCTCTGTGACCCGGTGGGCTCTTCATTCATCTGGAGGCAGAGCGGCAGCCGGGCTGCCTCACCACTGGGCTACAACCAGAACCGGGCCTCCAGGTCTGGAACCACAGAGAGGAGGGGGGAGGGGGGGCTACATGACCTTCAGGTGACCTTTAGGATCCATTTTAAAATATCAGAACAGAATTAACTGCAGAGAGCATGAAGATGGATGGATGGATGGATGGATGGATGGATGGATGGATGGATGGATGGATGGATGGATGGATGGATGGATGGATGGATGGATGGATGGATCAGATTAATCCTTCTTGAAGTTCCTCTCTGGAGGTCAAAGGTCATTTCTTATTTCAGATCCATTGAAGTCCTGAGGATCTCGGATGAACAAAAACTTTTTCTTTTTAGCAAAACCAAACGGTCAGTGAGCTTCAGCTCCACCTCCCTCTGTCCAGCAAGTCAAAGGTCAAAGGTCATGCCAGCACAGCCTGATAAAGCCCTACCTGAACTCAGCAGCAGAGGAGAGTCGATGCAGCTGTTCGTCCTTCAGCTCCTGAACTGAGTCAGTCAAACCTGGAAAATACAAAATGGTTCAAAGAGTTTAAAATCAAAAGTTTTAAAAGATTTCATTTTGAAATCAGAGCTTAATAAACTAGAAACCAAAGCATCTGCTGAGTCTAAATTAAACAACCTGGAGCTGGACGATAAATCAGCATAAAAATATCTTGAAAAGAAGAAAACATTTGTATTCAGAACCCAGAGTTTCTGTTCCAGGCTGACTGGTTGGGAATCTGTGATAAACTCAATTTATTAGTTAAATCTGATCCAAACTACAAAACACACTAAACAAATTCTGCATCTGCAGGAAAAAGAAGAGAAAATGCTGCAATTAGCAAAAAAAAGCAGTGAGTATAAAAAGCTGTAAATTTGCTCCAAATCCTCCAGACCAGCAGGGGGAGTCGATCACCAAATCACCAGGAACAAGCAAAGATGGAAACATTCAGAAGAAAGTTTGGTGGAAGAAAGAAAAGTTGAATCATGCTTCATGTTTTTTATCATATTATAGTACAGCAGCATATTTACGTTCCAGACTCACCACCGGCCTAGTCCAAGGCCTGTCGCAATAACCAATGAATCAACTGATGCAACTTTGATATCAATCATTTCCATTTGCATAATTTATTGTTTTTCTCTTTTTCTACCAAAAACTGGATGATAAAAGTTTTGGTCTCATCTGAACCATTTTTTGAAGGACAGTTTTATTTACAGAGATTTTATCATTTATTTTATTTGTTGTTTATTTATCACAATAACTTCTGGGACAATTCAGAAAAATTCTTTCATCATCACAGGTTTAGGTAAACCTTTTGTTCACATATTTAACACTAAATATGTTTAGTTTTTGTACATTTGCTTTTCCACCAGATGTCTTTGGAGGAGTTTCAGTTTTATTTTATTTATTTCCAATCGTAGGAAACGAGAAAACAACCTGGTTCGGTTAAGTTTTGCAGATATTTCTGATTTTAATTGAAGGGTTGATTCTAATATCTCAAACCCTGAGAAATGTCCAACAGTTCCTCCTTCAGATGAAGAGGTTCTGTCGGGTTCGGACCCGGAGGGGAACCTTCCCGAACACGGGACCTTAATTATTGATGAGTGGAGCATGTGAGGAGACGTGCAGTGTATCATTTATCTGCAGGGTCGGAGTTACGTAACATCTGCCCCTCTAGCCGCTCACTCCCTTAAAGAGACGGCGGACCAGAACCAAACGGCCCGACCCGATTGGACCAGAAACCCAAAGGGAGGCAGGAGTTTCACTCCCAACATAAAAGAAGCTTTTGTTCCTCTGAAAGTTTTATGACAAGCTTGTTTTTGTCCAGCTGAGGAGATGGTCAGACCTCAAACGCATTCCTGGCCGACCAGAACCTCAGAAGGTTCTGCAGAAATGGGCCACAGCTGCTGGTGATTTTCCTCCAGGCGTGCCCGGCGACGCGCTGAGTCATCGGCGGATCCCCAGAGAGCCGGATGATGCCGGACGTCACGATGAAACCGAACACAAACCGGGTCGGCGCGCCAAACGGTGCCAACCTCAGACCGCAGCTGGAACACCGCCGCCCGGTTCTGGACAAACAAAGCCACTGCGGCCAGAGATTTACGGCCGGTACCGGTGATGTAAGAAAGTCTGTGCAGAAAAAGGCAAAGTTTTTTCCTCCTCCCCCAGAAACATCTGGACTGGGTCTGGTTCTGCTCAGGTCGTCCTGCAGAGTTTCTGATCCAAACGTTCGGTCAAGTGCATCAATACTTCATCCAGAGACAAGACGAGCTTCTTTACGACCTTCTGACTCAGCAACATGGAGGCTCAGGATAAAACATGCAAATGTGAACCATGTGCATCTAAGCTGCACATGTTTCACATCTGATTCATTCTTAGGCTGAATCCATTTCAAACATCTGTTTCCATCACATCATTATCTGGGTAGAAACTCACAAATTCAGAAACTTATGGTTCATTTTAGCAATGAACCAACTGCAGTTCTTTGGCCGATCTTTAAAAAACCTGATCTACCGATTCCACTTTTGGACATACCGGTTTATTTGTCTGAAATGTTGCTAAATATAGCAAGACAGTGGCAACAGTGGAGGGACTGTTGTTAACTGCAAACGTGCAGACATGACCTGGTGGGCGGAGCTAAACCTCTTTCACTGCAGAAGAGGACGGAGGCTGATTTTAGAAAAGATCGATGGATAAGATCGCATGCAAGTATCGGTCGATTTCATAAAGTTAAGGAAATCAGCACCAATAAATCAACTGGCCAGTAAAAGCACACCAAGTTAATTTCAAACAAACCAACACCACACATCATCCCCACGGTGGGACATGGTGGTGGCAGCATCATGCAGCAGGAATCCTTTTTTTTTTTTGTTCAGCAGGGATAAGAAAGCCGGTCAGAGGTAAAAAAGACAAACCTAAACATCCAGCCAGAGCTTCAGTAGAAAGGTTTAGATCAATACTTCATTAGTTAGAACGGCCTAGTCAAAGACCTGAAATACATTCTCCACCCAACCTAACTGAGCTTGAGCTATTTTACAAAGAATGGACACAAACTTTAGACTCCAGATGTTTAAAACTGGTGGAGACAAACCCTACAAACCTGCAGCAGAAGCTGGTTCTACACGGTACCAGGTCAGGCGGCCTGAACCCAAATGGACCAAAACAAACATTCAAACTGATCTGTGATCTGCCTATAAAATAAAATCCTAATTAAATGCATCAGCATTGCTGGCTCAGGGGATGTGAGTTGTAGAACTGCAAAGTGGTCACAGGAATCTGAGGAAACACTGCAGAGTCGTTAGAGGCTACGGATCGGATCGCTCTCTGCCAGCCTCATTGGAAGAACATCAGTGCCATGAATGAGTGTGTGACTGACTATCTAAACTCCCACCAACACAGTGAGATGCTTCTCTAATAACAAACCAGCTACTGCCTTTCTCCATTCCTGCAGAGCTTCTAGATGCATCTAGAAGTGCAGCACTGGACTTGGGCATCAAACCTGCCGCCATGTTGGATCACCAAGGAACCATCTGCAAAACGTTCCCAAGGCTGGGATTAGAAAATAATCTGAAATGTGTTTGTTTTCTGTTTTAGTCCCACTAAACTAAACTGGACATTCAGGGACACAAACAGCACGTTTACCTCATCAACGGTGAAACATCTGAAGTAAATTTCCTTCAGATTAACCTGGAATTTATGAACAACTAATAATATTTATGTTTTTCCCAAGCAGACATCCACCAGGACAGAAATTCATGTTCTGAAACGGCAGAACCCAGAAATGCTTCTGACAGAAAACCTGTTAGGTCGCCATGGCAACCAGGAAGATAACATTTCCCCACAGAAACAGGTTTTTTAGTTTTTTCTTTTAATGAATAAAATCAGTATCTTCGCACAATGTATTAGAATTAGTATCGTATCGGCCGATGTTAGTTGTTTTTTGGCATTTCGTTATCAGTCCAGTCAAACTGGGACGGGATCAACAGCTACCGTTTATATCCATCATCCTACGCTGAAAACCTCTGAATTAGAATCTCACACAGAGAGAAATGCTTCAGTTTCTTTCTGTTAATTTATAATTACTGTTCAAGGGAAATGAAGGCCAAAACTTCAGGCTAAAAAGACACAAAAAGAAGATTTTCATTCCTGAAATGGTAAGTTGCAGCAATCCTAAAAAAAAAACTGAGAAAAGTTCATGTGATTCAATTATGATACTAAGTTCATATTTTAGAGATTAATTACACACAAAATTAAGATTTTGAGAAATTTTGTTGAATACAGAAGTTTTATATCATGTCCAACAAAATCCTGGAGCAGACCACAAGAAAGGACAGAGTGGAAAGTTGAGTGGAAGGAAAAAAGAAACCAAGTGGTGTACGACCACATTATATTCAAAAAGCTCATATTTCTGTATGTGAAACTTCTTTGTAAATTTCTTTTATGTAATATTCTAAAAGTTTTAATAAATCTGAAAATCAAATTTAACAGAAACACTTAAATTATTGTTTTGATGTATTTAATAAATGGAGAGGAAAAATCAGATTTTTCTGTTTCTGAACTGATATTGGCTAATCTCTGGTTTTCAAACGGGGTGTGTTTGGAAATGAGCAGCAATGACATTTCACTTCCTGTCAGTGACATGTCTGCTTTCTGATTGGCTGGAGCCGCTTCACCTGGACTGACCAGCCCAGGTTTCTGACGACAGGCCGCCTTGTTTTCCGGTTCTGGTTGCCAAACATTCAAATCCGCTTTCCAGCAACTTCTTCCTGCTCCTACTGCTGCATTTGAATATGACAATGCACCAAAATGCATCAGTCAGAGGAAGACCTTGAGTTGAAAACTGCATTTTTAATTTTTATGTTTGTTTTGCTGCGGTCGTTTTGGATTCTGAAAGCCAAACCGCAGCAGCTGCTTTGACTGTTTGTGTTAAAAATGTGATATTTTATCATGAATTTCTGCAGTGAGAAATGGAAAAGCAGGTTCTGCAGCAGGGCCAGCGTCAGCCATGTTGCTCGCCTTTTCCCTTTATCTTCTCAGTCCATTATAAACGGATCGGACGGGGAAAGGGGGCGGATACCCGCCGCAGTCCATTCAACAGCAGCCGGACAGTCCGAGAGTCCAACCCGGGACCGGGACTGTCCCAGACGGGGAGACAGCCGGGGACTGGGTTCGGTCTCCGGCTGTCTGCGGCTGCCTCTCCCGCCCCTCCCCCTCGGCGGGAGAACGCAGCCAACAAAACGAACGCTCCGTGTGTTGTTGCTGGTTGTTTACCTGCAGGCAGACCGGGCAGGTGAGCGCTTCCTCCGGTCTTACCGTGAAACTGGGTGAAAGAGACCCGGCGGGGAAACGGAGCGGTTCCTGGCGTCCCGCTGGTCTGTCCGCTCCGACTTCACAGGAACCAGAGACACTTCACGGCCATCTCACCTCCAACGGTCAAGATGGAAGCAGCGCGGCGCCAAACATCCGGCTGAGCCTTTCAAAATAAAACCCCATGCCGCCATCATAGCAATACTTTTTATTAATTAATCTTATTATTCTATATTTAATTTGTCAAAATATATTTTATTCTAAAATACATTTTTAATCTAAAGCACTTCTTTATATTTTTATTGCATGAATAAAACATTTTAAAAATGTGTTTACAATTCAGTAAATTATGATGTTTTCTGATTATGTTCATTTGTCAGATTAAAAGTACTTCTTGAAAATAACTTTAATCAGTCATGTTTATTTGTGCAGTATATTTATTTATTAAATGTAGACTAGTTTAATTGGTCTGATACATTAGTCTAATCTTAAATATGTTCTTGACTGTAAATTACAGAAAAAAACTACATAATATTCATTGTTACATGATGTGTCTAACAAAAATAATTTTATTTATTTTGATAAAGCTTTGCCATTAAGGGCTGGATTTATGTTTTTGTTCCATCACAATAATTAATTTATCTGCATTATATCCAGGCTCAGTTTTGGGTATTTTCTTCATAACTGAACAATAACTGATTCATATTTAGTTTGCAGCAAATTCCCATAGAGTAAAATCACAGGTCTGTACATTTGTGGAAGTTTATTTTATTTCATAATGTTGTTAAGGATTATGCAGTTATTACTTTGTAAATATTGAACAGTTGTTGTGATTCCAGCTGAATTTGTACATTTTAGTCCGACTTTAAATGAAATAATATTTTTGCACAGTTTTACATCTTAGATAGTATTTAGTGAAACTGCCTTTTATTTTTGGTTCGCTGAGCGGACTTCCGGTCGTTGTGCCGGCCCCTTGACGCCCCTCCCTCCCCCTCTCGCTCTCCGCCCCTGCTGCCTTCTGCCAAATAGTGCGACCGAGAGGAAACACAAGAACCCGGACTGGCGCATTACGCTGTTTTTCCCTGCTGAATAGTGATCCGTCCTTCGGTTTAATGCGACAGCGGAGGAGACAGACAGCCAGGAGACAGAGACGCTGGGAGACATGTCCACCTGTCCAAAGTGGTGATTGGACAATAATCAGATATTAATGACGGGATTTAAGGTGGAAATGTTTTCTTTTGTTCTCCGCTGCTGTGTCAGCTATAAACCAAATCATCATGTTGGAATGTTTTTCAAAACAGAATTAGGGAAAATTGTGTTTATTCATAAAATCTGAGACAAATTTTCTTTTCTTTCTTCTTAAATCAGCTTTTGAAGATGTAAAACAGCGAATTGTAGCTTGTCATACATTAAAATTGATTTAATGCAGTAATAACAGAACAGGACTGAACTAAATACATTTTAAAAACATTTCCTTACCTTTGATTTTTGCTAAAGATAGTTTTTGCTCTACATTTCCTGCAGGAAAATATTTCTTCTTTAAAGCTGCTCTATTTAATTTTTATTTTAAAAAATGATATATTTTTGTTCATATTCATTAAAATATTAATAATAATCTATGAAAAATCAAGCTCCTCCACCTCTTCCCTGAGTTATTATTGCAATCATCAGAAACACACTGCTACGACTCAGAAACAAAGTTCTCAATCAAGCTCATGTACTTGCTGCTCAGAGTGCTAATGATGGAGAAACAACTTACTGTTACAAGAAAATCATTTATCTGCCGTCATCTGTGGCCATGCTAACTAGCTTTATTCATGACAGGCTGGTGAACAGAAAGGGGGGAGGTTGAGAGCCATGAGGATGATTGATAGCGCTAAGACACTCCTCCTGGCTCTGATTGGTTGTTTTTTTAATATTAGTTTCATTCAACATGACACTTGAACAGCTTCTTTATTTTAGATTCATTTATTCAGTAGTTTTGAATTATTTCTCATGTATCCATCAATTTCAGCTTCCTTCGTTTTCAGTATAATTATTATTCGATCCAACAGACGCCATCTTTGTTTTGACACAAACGTTTCAAAGTCTTTATTATCAGAATCAAACAAACTTTCTCTTTCAAGTAACTTCCTATTTTCTGATTTTGATGTGTTTCTACATTCCTTTGAACTGCTGCATGATGGACAGAAGATGCTCGCTGCGTTTCTGGACGTTGCTCTGCTCCTCCTTCAGCCTCTCCTGGTCCTGCAGAAGCTCCACCTGAGGAAACGGCCAGGGAAGAAAAACAGTTTAACATTTANGGTCCAGGTTCAGGTCTGGGTCCGGTTCAGGTCTGGGTCTGGATCCGGTCCAGGTCTGGGTCTGGATCCGGTCCAGGTTCAGGTCTGGGTCTGGTCCAGGTTCAGGTCTGGGTCTGGTCCAGGTTCAGGTCTGGGTCTGGTCCGGTCCAGGTTCAGGTCTGGGTCCGGTCCAGGTTCAGGTCTGGGTCCGGTTCAGGTCTGGGTCTGGATCCGGTCCAGGTCTGGGTCTGGATCCGGTCCAGGTTCAGGTCTGGGTCTGACCAGGTCCAGGTTCAGGTCTGGGTCCGGTCCAGGTTCAGGTCTGGGTCCGGTCCAGGTTCAGGTCTGGGTCCGGTCCGGTCCAGGTTCAGGTCTGTGTCCGGTCCAGGTCCAGGTTCAGGTCTGGGTCTGGTCCGGTCCAGGTTCAGGTCTGGGTCCGGTCCGGTCCAGGTTCAGGTCTGGGGCCTGTCCGGGGCACGT